CAACTCTTCAGACACAGATTGGACTGGACTGTGGGGCATAAAATGATACTCTTGAAGAGTGTGCTTCTTAGCTCAAGTAGATACATGAGACTAAACGGGCAGCTTCTGTCCGGAGGTGAGATGAGAAGGCAGAGAGGGTTAGGAGCTGGTTGAATGGACATGGGGAATCAGGGGTAGAAAGGAGGAGTGTGCTGTCACAGTATAGGGAGAGCAATTAGGGTCAGCCAACAATGTATGTATAAATTTTTGTATAAGAGACTAACTAGAAATGAAAACTTTCACTTGAACTACAACAATAAACAAAACCCTGGCATTATATAAGGGGCCTATTTTCCCCAAACTCAAGCCAAATCTATCAAACTTTATATGCAAAAATAATTTCTCAGTTGCTGATTAATTTGCATTTATTTCTAGGGCTGAATGTTTCATATATTTGTTGGCCATTTGCAGCTCTTTGTGAATCATCTCCTGATGTCATTTGACTATTTTTTTATTGGGATGCTAGTCTTTGTAAGAATAATTTTTTAGATTATTGCAAATAATATATGCTACTATTATTTTTCCATTTCCTTATTTGTCATTTAATTTGTTCTCGGAATTTTCTTACATACTTTAATATTACCAAACATATAGCATTTTTTCTTTGTGGTTTCTTTGTTTTTGTGCTCAGCCATATATCACATTAAGTTTTCCCTGATTTTTCTTGTAGTTATATTTTATGACTTTATTTCTCAACTCTTTATTCCACCTGGAATTTATCTAGGCACATTAACAAATAAAAAGAGGAGTACTAACATATAAAGGAGTATTAACAACTAGAAGTTGAAGACTAATATCATATTGATACCTAATATTAAACACCTAATATTAAAATAGAATTGGAGTAAATTCAGTCAGAGAAAATGTCTAATCTGACCCCTCATCCACTCTGCTGGATGATTCTGTGTTTGAATAATGATATGATTCATACCTTCACTGTTCCCATCTAATTGGGACTTTTAGCCTCCAGAACTGTGAGAAAACAAACCTGTTTTTTAAAAGCTACCCATTTGTATTATTTGTATACAGCAGAACTAGAATTAAGACATCACCTATTCTCTAAATGTTGGGGTTTGATCTCCCATGCTAGAAAATGAGACACCACCATCTTCTCTTTCAAATATCCAATTAGTTATCAAGTCCTTCCCATTTTATCTCCTATTCTTCAAATCTTGTCTCCATTCTTCATCACAACAAATCTATCATCCATTTCTCATCTGAACTCTTTTTAACAGCCAATATCCAAATTCATACTACAAAGCCTTCCAGGATCTGACCACTGCCTACCTTCCCGTCTATATTTACTACCTTGTCCGCAGTGACGCAACCATAAGAAACTGCTTGTAGTTTATGCATGCAGTGGGTTGTTTCTCATCTGTCTTTGTTCATGTATTCTATATGCCTAGATTGCCCTCCCTCCAATTTCAGGAGCGTGTGCAGATTTCCAATGTTTATCTGTAGAAGAAAAAGTAAATCTCCTAAGTACACAGGTTCTACTGGTTTTAAAATCAACAAAAGTCTACCCTGCTGGCTGTAGTAGAGTTTCTTAGGGCTAAAAACCTACCATCAAGATGCATTTCTAGCCATAACGTTTTCCCACTAGGGCTTAAAGGTAGTAGCTAGTCATGCTATCTAGGCCAAGAGAATGAGCATCCTGGACATTCAGTTTCTTTAAACCACGACTTCTGTTTCCTAAATATTTTCAATTCTAAGTACCTGTTCTTGAGTATCTTTTCCAAAAGAGCAGCTGGCAAAATTCTGCTTGATTTGGCATGCTCTGTTGAGTCATCTGGAAGGAGTGACTTGCCAAGATAAGTCTAGGAAAAAAGGGTGAAGAGGCCATGTAGGTGACCTACAGTAATGTGATGTTATCAGGGAATGAACTACACGGTAAATCGTATTAAAGGAAATATTCTGGGCACATGACACATTAAAACATTGTTCAGGGGAAATTACAACTTGCCATCCAAACAGTGAATACAAGGATAATATATTAAAGTCCAAAATCAGGCTTCAATATTTACAAGATATTCATGAAACTACACACCAATGAGTATGAAAATGGATTTTATAATAACACAGGTTCCACACACTGATTTTTATAAGCTCATCACAAGAAAGGAAGCTCCCCTGAAAGCTCTAGGGAAAAGCAATGTTTATCATACCTATTTGATTAATAGGTGCTTAATAATAAATGTTAAACTGAATAAAAATATGGCTCAACTGTTACTTCATCCACAAAGTCAGCCCTGGGGTCTTCTCCTTCTATTAAGATGCATAAGGTACCTTTCTGTACTCTCAAAGTTCCCTCTGTGTATTTCTCTATGTCATAATTTACTCGCTCTGTGTTCCTGCTCTAGATTGTGATCATTTGAGGATCAGGCCATGCTTTTTTCTTCTTTGCATTCCTAACAAATAACAGAGCCTGGAATTTGTCATCAATCAACAAAAGCTACCAACTGACTGACTAAGCAAGCCTTTTGACTCAAACCATCAAAAAAAAAATCTAACCCAGAAAGACTCAAAGTAGCAAACCCATGAACAGTTTGTTATTGGTTCATGATGAGATAAGGAGTTTGAGCCAGAACATAAAAGAATTGCTTCCCAAAACAGGAATAGAAGGGAAATTCCTCAGCATAATAAAGGGCATTTATACAAAGCCAAAAGCAAATATCATCCTAAATGGAGAGTCGGAAAGCATTCCCCTTGAGAACAGGAACCAGACAAGGATGCCTTTATCACCACTATTATACAATATTGTGCTGGAGGTCCTAGCCAGAGCAATTAGGCTAGAAAAGGAAATAAAGGGCATCCAAATTGGTAAGGAAGAAGTAAATGTACCCCTATTTGCAGATAATATGATGTTATACACAGAAATCCCCAAAGAATACACAAGAAACCTACTAGAAGATTTCAGCAAAGTATCAGGATACAACATAAACATGCAAAAATCAGTTGGATTCCTCTACATCAACAAAGAGAACTTCCAAGAGGAAATCACCAACCAATACCATTTACAATAGCCCCCAAGAAGATAAAATACTTAGGAATAAATCTGAGCAGGGATGTAAAAGACTTACACTAAGAAAACTACAAAACACTACTGCATGAAACCCAAAGGGATCTATATAAATGGAAAAACACACCATGCTCATGGATACAAAGAGAAATGCAATCAAAACTACAAGGAAATACCATCTCACCCCAACAAGGCTAGCATTAATCCAAAAAACACAAAATAATAAATGTCGGAAAGGTTGTGGAGAAACTGGAATACTTATACACTGTTGGTGGGAATGCAAAATGGTACAACCACTTTGGAAATCAATTTGGCACTTCCTTAAAAAGCTAGAAATAGAAGCACCATACGATCCAGCAGTCCCACTCCTTGGAATGTATCCTAAAGAAATAACAGCCATCACACAAATAGATATATATATTTCATGGTCATTGCAGCACTGTTGAACGATAGCAAAAAGATGGAAACAACCTAGGTGTCCATCAACGGATGAATGGATAAACAAATTATAGAATAGCCACACAATGGAATACTACGCAGTGATAAAGAACAACGATGAATCCGTGAAACATCTTATAACAGGGATGAATCTGGAAGGCATTACGCTGAGTGAAATTAGTCAGTCGCAAAAGGACAAATATGTACGAGACCACTATTATAAGAATTCAAGAAAAGGTTTAAATACAGAAGAAAACATTCTTTGATGGTTACGAGGGTGGGGAGGGAGGGAGAGGGGTCTTCACTAACTAGATAGTAGACAAGAATTATCTTAGGTGAAAGGAAGGACAACACACAATACAGGAGAAGTCAGCACAACTGGACTAAACCAAAAGCTAAGAAGTTTCCTGAATACAACCAAATACTTTGAGAGACAGAGTAGCAGGGGCAGGGCTCTGGGGACCATGGTTTCAGGGGACATCTAGGTCAATTGGCATAACAAAGTTTATTAAAATGTTCTGCATCCCACTTTGGTGAGTAGCGTCTGGGGTTCTAAAAGCTATTAAGTGGCCATCTATGATGCGTTAATTGGTCCCAACCTACCTGGAGCAAAGGAGAATGAAGAACACCAAAGCCACAAGGAAAATATCAGCCCAAGAGACAGAAAGGGCCTGGCTACCACCAATGACCGTCCTGACAGGGAACACAACAGAGAGTCCCTGACAGAGCAGGAGAAAAGTGGGGTGAAGAACTCAAATTCTAGTAAAAAGATCAGGCTTAATGGTCTGAGACTGGAAGAACCCCAGAAGGTATGGCCCCCGTACTGTTAACCCAGAACTAAAACCATTCCCGAAGCCAACTCTTCAGACAAAGATTAGACTGGACTATAAGACATAAAATGATAACTCGTGAAGAGTGTGCTGCTTAGTTCAAGTAGATACAGGAGACCAAACAGGCAGCTCCTGTACAGAGGCAAGATGAGAAGTCAGAAAGGGACAGGAGCTGGTTGAATGGACAGGGGAAATCTGGGGTGGAAAGGAGGAGTGTGCTGTTACATTATAGGGATAGTAACTACGGTCACATAACAATATGTGTATAAATTTTTGTATGAGAAACTAACTTGAGCTGTGAACTTTCACTTAAAGCACAATTTAAAAAAAAGAATTGCTCCCTTTTTTGAGGAAGTGTTGCTATGAAAAAATGTCCGGTGGAACTAAATATTGTTTAGTGATACAGCTGATTTACGTTCTTGCCCCAATTTGAGTAACACTGATCCAAACACTTGACAGCTGGACGAAGGCATTTTCATAAAGAAATGTAAGTTGAGGAAAGGATGGTTCAAATTAGCTTTAGGGTCCTCATTCATCTTTATAAGCACACATTTATTCACAGATTCCCAAATACAGGAGATATTTAAAATAAAAGCACCTATTTTCACCAGTAAAAAAATAAATAAAGACACAGGGCACTTAAAAAGTTTTTAAAAAGCCAAGACGCATTAAAAAAAACCCTAATAAATTTTTAATTAGAATTTTTTCCTTTTTTTCAAACAGGACAAGTAACAGATTACATCAAACTTCGGAACTTCTCAAATATCTAGTTATTATACACATTCCCATCTGTCTTGCAGGCAGGGATCTTGGTCGGCATAACAGTTTTAGGTAAAATAAGCTACATAATAGTATATATTACAATAATAAATGTACAATGTTTACATGAAATATATTTTAGAAGCAAGAAAATGATGCATCTGCATCAAAAGGCGACCTTTTAAAATGCCACTGCTATTTTTTACATTCACTCTTGCAAAAGGTCACAAGATGGGGTCACTAAGCTCAGATAAATCACTATGATGCACATAAAATACAGAAATATTGGTTAGTTTATATATTATATATTTATATTTCACACTTTAGCATCTGAGACATAAACTGAGAATTTAAAATTTATTCTCTTCAGATAACAAATCATTTTTTATTCTTCATAAACATGGTGCCCACAAAAGCACATAGGTAAGGCACAATAGGGTTTTCTGTTACAGAATAGTGTGCATCATGTTTACTTAACCAGAAAACGTGCATTATCTGTGCAAGTTCATGCTGCAAACCCAACCCATATACAATAAAACAAAAAGGAAACTGAGCTTTAAACAAAATCAGAATTGGTACAATTTCAACTGTTTTACATACTTATTTGGACTGACAATGGTTATCAACAGGTTATTAAAAAAAAAAAAAAAAAAGAGCCAATTGTTAGATTACAAGTAAACTTTGCTCAGCAACTATTTTAATCTGAAATCATAAACAGTAATAAAGCAACTTTACTGAAACAAATACTGAGGCACAAAGCCAATGGTCACTTGAGCATTTACTATATTGCAAACTTTCATGACCCAAAACTGCAAATACAATTTGTCAAATCCACATTTTGCTGCAACAATATGCCCTGCTCTAAACTTGACATACAACAGAGGTGCTAACATTTCATTAAATTATAAATAGTGGGAAAATGACTTAATCCCAATGGTACTATGTCACAGCCCTAGTATTTATAATAAATACAGCTTCTCACAAAATATTTTTCCAATATCTGCCAATTGCTTCTTTATTGCTCACATAAATTTGAATCCATTACAACTGGTATCAGAACTTTCACACAAAATCATACTCAGACATTTTTATATAAAACGTATAAAAGATGTTTTAAACTTGTATCTAATACTTCCAGGTGGTTGGCTGTTTGATCTATGTTATAATACAGCCATATGTATATATATATGTGTGTGTGTGTGTGCGCGTATACATATACACATACATACATATATATATACATACACACATATACACATATATACATACACATTAGATTATGAATAAAATAGGAAGCTTATTTTACTGCTTTAATGCAGACATCCTCACAAAACTACTTTCGCCACCACCAGCATTTATACATATATACAAAAGCCAGTTTAAGTACATGTACATCCCCTTACACTTATATGCAATCACTAAACTCAAATTAATTTTCCCATATTCTAACTACAGCAAATGAATCTCTTAAAAGCAATAGAAACCTAAGGTTAAATTGGGAAATTAACAGTTTTACCACATAAGCCTGTAAGGAACTATGCAGTTGACTGTATACAAAAACTCACAACATTCACAGGAAATTATGGAATACGAGAAGCCTCTTCGCCATGCTTTTGTGTGGTTATCCCAACATTTCTTGGTGGAAAAATACAACCACCACATCTGAAATGTTTAATAAAGTCAATGTTCCTCATGCAAAACTTTAAATGCACTGGCTTAACGGAGCTCCAAAAACTGAATGAAACAATTATTCTATCTACTCAGCATTACTGCCTCACTGCCAAGTCCCTCTGGAACCTTAAGATTTCTGGAACGTCCAAACAGAGCTATTCATCAATAAAAATATTACATACAAAAAGCATTTAAAAAGGAAGACAGGAAGCCAAACAGGAATTTTCCTATTGTAAATAACAGTCCTAGGAGTAGTAGAAAGTCTTTTCAGGAACCTCCTTGAGAATTGACTAGGCCAGTCCGAAGACGAAGATGAGACATAGAGTTCATATGTTTATTTGATGGCTTCAAGGGAGTGTTGCAAGTTAGAGCTTGGGGAAAGCGATGATGATATCTATCTAGTCGTAAATATTTTACTGTAACCAATTTCCCTGTTGTAAGATAAAAATAATATTTTAGATCTGTAAAAATATGCTTGATATTTGTAGAAAATAAACTGTGGTAAAAGACACATGAACACAAAATGCAAAAAAAAAAATAAAAATGTGAATCTAAAATTCTTTAATTTAAAATGTGATATAGTTTAACAAGCCATAATTTATCTTTTCAAAATGTTTATAGAATTCAAATTTCTTACCATCAAACCAAGAGCCATGCAATGCCTTAAAAGCCTTTCCAGCATATTCTGGAGACAGACATTTAACATATACACAACCCTGTGACAAAAAAAAAAAAAAAAAGAAAGTCTTAGTTTAACAGCAACAAACGCGAAAAGTAGAATTCAATACTAAAAGTTACTTTACCTCACGTGAATTTCTGTCTACTGCAATATGAACAATGCCATCATTATCACTGCATTTTTCTAAAATTGCTTCTTGAATTGCCAAATGCCAATGATCCCCTATTTCCCTAAAAATTAATGAAAACAAAAATCATTGACCATATTCCTACTCAAAAAGACTTTATTGTCCCATGCAACATATATATCCTATTAGTATTAAGACAGTTTAAAAATATTGTGAAAATTAGTAGTAATAAATGCTTGTTGACTAGCAGTAGATGGATTAAAAATACATTTAGTCCTAGTTCTTCCCTCATTTTCCAGTGTAAGAGCGACACAGAGCTGAGGCAATGAAGGATTAGCTTACCACAGCAGAGCAGATGTGTCGAATTATTTTATGTTTAGAATCCTATGTATATGCAGTTGTTTCTTTTTCCTTCCAGCGTTAAGCATTTTTAATGAGTTCTAGTGAACTTACGAAAGTTGAATATTTTTTTATTGACATTTTCAAATTCCTAAACCTAAGGAAAATTCTAAATACTGTATTCTGAGTTTCTCTTTTTCTTAATAATGGAAGAGTGATACAAGAGAATCATTTGCACAAATAGTCATCTTACGATTATGAGAGCTGTAGGATTTCCGGATGCAGTAATGCATATTGGTCTTATTTGTGAGACATAGATGGTAGGCAAGGGGAAGGACAGTTTTACTTTAAATCGTGAATCTTTATCTTAGGTAACACAAGACTGGACTGGTATTGGTCTCCTAATCCCTAAACACATGAGGTAAGATTCCCAATATAGGGATCACCATAGAACTAATTAGTTCTATCTCTGCAAAAGGGATGGTAATGTGCGTAGATGTGTGTGAGCATGCACGCATGTGTGCGTGTACTGACAGTGATTCCCTACATTTCCAATTTTGCTGTCACTTACTTAGAATTTCATTACATCAATTATTTCTTGAAATAAATGAGTTATCGGATGAGACTTATGGATATTTTATATATAATGCAATTTCTACTATCAGGATTTAAAAAAAAAAGAACCAGAATTTGACCTTTCACATCACTGGACAGATACGCAGTGACCTCTAGGAAGCTCATTCTAAAAATTATTACAGCTTATATGTAAAGTTTTAGGCTGCTAATGCACTAACGTTTCACTGTGCTATTCTCTGGGTAGCATGTGTTACTGTAATTATATGGACAGGAAATTTCTGAAATAGTACACGTTAATTTGTCTCAAGCATCTATCTGCTATGAAGATTCACAATAAGTACAAAGACTTTATAAATCATTATACATCTGTGTCTTAGAGCCAAACCTTTGCTTGGAATTTAACAAAACAGAAGAAAAAAACATAACACTTTATGTAGTTAAGAGATTCAGAAGGAAAACAGATTTTTAATTATAGACATAGCATTACAGGAGTATCATACATTTTCAATTAAATATTCTAAATAAAAATTACACATACTCTTGATTATAATACTTACATAACTGGATCAAACATATTTCGAATCTTTAGGCATGGTGTCAAACTATTTGGTGGTGAATTTCTTCTATCTAAATGAAACGCTACAAAAAAACATATTTGTTTTACTGTTTGCTATTATTCCATTTTGTTGAAAGGTATTCATTCAGTCATTCAGTCCATTCAAAGAATATTCAATCCACGCTTCCTATGAGCCGGACTCAAGTCAGATGTTAAAGTAAACAAGATAGACACAGTTGCTCTCACAGAGTTTACACTTTAGTGGGGGAGAGAGATGATCGACGGTTTCACCCAAGTAATTACAACTAATTATAATTGCAGTAAGTCCAAAGAGAGAAAAGTACAGAAAGCTTTAAAGGTAACTTAACCTATTCTGGGAGTCTCACGTAAGACTTCCTCAAGGAAGTGAAATTTATGCTGGGACTGGAAGAATAAATAAAAATTAGGAGGGTGAAGAGAGGTATACAAAATATTTCAGGGACTTCCAGGCAACATGGCGCTATAGACAGAAGCACCACACTGTCCCTCCACAGCAAAGACCCGAAAAACTAGGTCAAACAGAGTCAAACGTCAATCCTGGAACCCTAAGCATCAAATGAAGAGATAAAGAACTCAGCCAAGCACTGAATGCAATAAGAAACTGACAGAGAACAGAGAGCGGGAAGAAATACGGACAGAGGTCCGCTATTCAGCTAAGGCAGCATGGATTTTCCTCTTGGGGTTCCTATCGGAGATTGGTGAACAGGGAGTATGGGAAAGCAGCTTCACGGAGCTCCCAGCAGGACACAGAACAACCGGTAACCTGCGATATATGATTTCCTACCCCCCACCTTTCTTCACCCCCACTCAGCCTCCTCTGCTTCCTGCGGCGGCCACAGTCTCTTGGCCAGGAAGCACCGGCTTCACCCCAGTGTCACTTGGATTTCACCCACCCGCACTGGCTGGCTCCATGAGTGCCATCTGTTGGCTGCTGGTGTTGCTTTTTTCCATTTTTTTTTTTGTTTGTTTCTTCCATATCTCTCACCACCTTCTCCTCCTTTATCTCAAATACCTGGCTCCGTGTGCCATCTTTGCTTCTTTTGGAAAGACTGAAATACCACCTGACTGTGGAACTACTTCCCGGCCAGAGCTGCCACGCTGGTGGGATCCCTGGGGCTTTTGTTTGTTTGTTTGATTTGTTCTGTTCTGTTTTCTTTGCTTGTTTCTATTCTTTTTCTTTTCTCGGCATGGGAGCCCCTTCCAGCCGGGCTGTAGTGCGCGGCTTGGGAGGTACCTCCCCAGTCTGTGCAGACCCAAGGTGAGCTCCCTGGGGGCACTTCTTTTCTCTTTTTTCATTTTTGTTTTCTTTTCTCTTTTTTCCTCTTTGTCTTCCTTCATTTCTCGGTTTCTCATCTATTCACTCCAACGGCAAGCTCCCTTTTCATTCTTTCTTTCTGGCTCCTGTTTCTCTCTTCTCTCTCTCCTCTTTCCCGTACCCATCTTAGCTCCACACATCACAATCTATCCCTCTTTCCTGCCTACCTGCAACGTGCGCTGAACATCACATCCCCTGCTGGAACCTGCCCTAGACTGATTCCTGGCACTCTCTATCAGCCTAGTATGTGCCACAAACAACCAATACCAGCAACTCCCCTTCAGCTGGACATGCCCCGTTGCACCATAGCTGAATGACTGACCCTGCATATTGGACAAGGAGGTGACAAGTATCGTGCCCACAGAGAAGCAAACAACAACGCACAGCTCACCTGCTCAGACATAACCAAATAAAACAAAAAGGCAGGAAGAAAGAAATCCACAACCAGTAAACGAAGAAAATGACTACTGAATGTCCTGAAGACAGCAAACAATATCAAAATATATAAAAAAGCAGGACAGCATGCTTACAATAGAGGTCTAAGATAAAACACCACACGAGTTTCCAGGAGAAGAAAATGCATAAGACCTACCTCATAGGGAACTCAAATCTCTAATATTCACAGCTATCCAAGAGTTGAAGCAAAAAGCAGACAAAAAATGAGGAAAAAACAAATTCATGGAAACGGCAGACAAATTCATGGATAATACAGACCAAAAAAAATGGAAGAATTCAAGAAAACACAGGAACAAAATGCTAAAATAAATATACAACTAGAAATCATACAAAAACAAAAATTAGAAATCCAAAAGATAAACAACAAGATTTCAGAAATGGACAGTGTCACAGAAGGGCTGAGGAGCAGGTTTAAAACAACGGAACACAGGATCAGTGACACTGAAGACAAACACGTGGATACAATTCTGATTGAGGAAAACACAGAAAAAAGAACAAAGAAAAATTAAGAAACCCTGAGAATTATGTGGGATACAATCAAAGGCAAAAATTGCCACGTAATCGGAGTTCCAGAACAGGGGGAGAAAATAGAAAACATAGAAAGGATCACTGAAGAAATGCTGACAAAAAACTTGCCAAATATAATGAAAGATGAAAAGCTGACCATCCAAGAAGCTCATAGCGCCCCATACAGGATAGACCCCAAAAGAAAAACACCAAGGCATATCATAATCACACTCGCTAAAACCAAAGAAAACAAAGAATCCTGAGAGCAGATAGAGAAAAACGAAAAGACACAGAGGAGAAACAATATGACTAAGCTCAGATTATTCAACAGAAACCATGTAGGCAAAAAGGCAATGGGATGAAGTATACAAAACCTTGAAAAAAGAATGCCAGCCAAGAATAACATATCCTGCAAAATTCTCATTCAGATATGATGGTGAAATTACAACGTTTCCAGATAAACAGAAGTTAAGGGACTACATAAAAACCAAACCTAACTTACAAGAATTATTAAAGGGAGTCCTTTGGTCTAAGAACAGACAACAGGCTGAATCTAGGAGGTTAAGATCTTAACCAGCCAAATACCAACCTAGAAATGAACTCTCAAGGCCTATCCAAAACCAAAAGAATTACAACAGGGAACCAGGGAACCAAAGAGGTTAATCTGTAAATGACGACAACATCAGAATAATAAAAAACAGAATAAATGGTATAGGTACAGAATCTTCCAATGGAGGGTAAGGCAAGGTGATACCAACTAGTAATAGACTGGTTCAGACACAGGAAGGTAAGGGTAAATTTCAAAGTAACCACAAAGAAAATTAGCAAACCTACTCATCAAAATAAAGAAGAAACATAAAGTCTCAGTACAAACAAAATCTACAATAACAAAGGAAAAGAAAAAAAATCCACAAACAAAAGGAATTCAGCACAGGAGAATAAGAGGAACAAAGAAAACATCAGTACCACCAAAAAAAAAAAAAGCACTACAAAATGACAGCAGTAAACGCACACCTATCAATAATTACACTGAATGTAAATGGCCTAAATGCACCCACAAAGAGACAGTGACAGAATGGATAAAAAAACAGGACCCATCAAAATGCTGTCTACAAGAGACATACCTTAGAAACAAAGACATAAATTTATTAAAATTCAAAGGATGGAAAAAAATATATCAAGCAAACAACTACCAAAAAAGAGTAGGAGTGGCAATACTAATCTCAAATAAAATATACTTTAAAACAAAATCCACCAAAAAGAAAAAAGAAGGGCACTATATCTTGATTAGAGATGATCCTGCATGAAGATATAACCATAATAAACATCTATGCACCCAATGAAAGGGCTCCAAAATACACAAAACAAACTCTAATAGCACTGAAAAGAGAAATTGACAGTTCCACAAGAATAGCAGGAGACTTCAACACACCACTCTCAGTAAAGGGCAGAACATCTAGAAAGAAACTCAACAAAGATACAGAAGACCTAAAAGGCACAATCAGCCAACTTGACCTGTAGACATATACAGAACACTCCACCTACCAACTGCGAAGTACACATTCTTTTCCAATGCACATGGAACGTTCCCCAGAATAACCACATCTCAGGCCACAGAGCAACCCTCAACAAAATCCAAAACACTGAGATACTAACAAGTATCTTCTCTGACCACAATGCCATCAAGGTAGAAGTTAACAACAGGAAGAGCAACGAAAAAAAATCAATTACATGGAAACTGAATAACACCCTGCTTACAAACCACTGGGTAACAGAAGAAATCAGAGATGGAATCAAAAAATTCCTAGAATCAAATGAGAATGAAAACACATAATACCAAAACCATTGGGATACAGCAAAGGCAGACGTCAGAGGACAATTTATACCAATAGATGCACACATCAAAAAAGAATAACGGGACAAAATCAAAACATTAACTACACAACTCAAACAAATAGAAACAGAACAGCAAAAGAAGCCCACAGGCACCAGAAGAAAGGAAATAATAAAGATCAGAGCAGAAATAAATGAAATAGAGAATAGAAAAACAATAGAAAGAATCAACAAAAACCAAAAGTTGGTTCTTTGAAAGAATCAACAAAATCGACAAACCACTGGCCGGACTGACAAACAAAAAACAGGAGAGGATGCAAACAACCCAAATAAGAAATGAAATGGGGGACATTACAAGAGACCCAAATGAAATAAAAAGGATTATAACAGAGTATTATGAAAAACTATATTCCAACAAATTTGAAAACCTCGGGGAAACGGACATATTTCTAGAAATACACTACCTACCCAAACTAACACAAAGAGATGTTGAAATATGAACAGACCCATAACAAGAGAAGAGATGGAAAATGAAATAAAAAAAAAAAACTCCCAACAAACAAAAAGTCCTAGCCCAGATGGCTTCACTGGAAAATTCTACCAAACATTCAGAGAAGAGCTTACACCAGTACTATTCAAATTATTTCAGCAGAAAAGGAAGCGACACTTCCAAATTCATCATATGAAGCCAGCATAACCCTGATACCAAAACCAGGCAAAGACACCATAAAAAAAGAAAATTACAGACCAATATCACTCATGAATATAGACACAAAAATTCTCAACAAAATTCTAGCCAATAGAATTCAGCATCATATCAAAAAAATCATACACCACGACCACGTAGGATTCATACCAGGTATGCAAGGATGGTTCAACATTAGAAAGTCAATCAACGTAATCCACCACATAAATTGGAGGAAAGAAAAGAAT